AAGTTTGATAATTTACAAGTAATAGATACATTGCTAGCAATATACAATCTTTCAAGGTTGAATCAGGAAGAAACAGAAAATCAGAACTAACAACTGCTAACAAAATCAAATCAGTAATAAAAGAAAAACTACCAACAGAGTCTTGTATCAGGTGGCTTTACAGGTGAATTTTACCAAACATTCAAAGAATGAGTTTCCGATCACCGTCAGTGGCAGGGGGCTTCTTCCTGCTTTCGCTTTCGCCTCCCTGCATTGTGCCTACATATGCAAATTAACCTCCATCTTTGTTGGCAGTGAACTGCCATCTGAGTTGGCAGTTAATTTGCATCTAGCCCTGATTAGCCAATGAAAAGGGTAGCGTCGTACGCCAATTACCATTTTTCTCTCTTATTAGTGTAGATATATGTGTTTTCCGATGGTCTTAGGCGACCCCTGTGAAAGGGTCGTTCGACCCCCAAAGGGGTCGTGACCCACAGGTTGGCGACCCACAGGTTGAGAACCGCTGATCTAAATGAAAACAACAAAAACCCTTATACCTTTGAGCAGCCCACCTCATCTGTTTCTAAAGTACACTGGACATAAATTATAACACTTAGTATATCCTGTTAATCTTACGTGTCCTATGAGTTTTCTTAGGGTAGGCAATTTTGTATATATTAACAAAAGTGTCTGACACTGACCAGAAGCTCAATAAATATTTGCTGAGTCGAATTTAATAAACTATGGACAATCTGAAAATGTGTCACATACATAAACAATAGTGTATTCTCTTTCAAGGAGGAATTTTCCTGGTCAAACTAAAATTTAAAAAGCATTTATTTACAGTTTAACTAATATCATAAGTCCTCACCTTTCTCAAATAAAGTAAAAGTTCTAAATATAGACTTTGTACAACTTCAAGTGTTAAAAACGTTGCTAGTCTACAAGAGTAACATATCAATGTACTCAACGTACTCAATGAACTAAGCAGATGCTGCTAACTGAGAGGAGCTAGGCAAGGAACACTCCATTTTAGAACTCACTAAAGTATGCTGAATGAGTAAGTGAATAAGCATTTTATATAAAAGTTTAATATGAAAAGTCAGAATTTAAGAATTATGCTGAGTTCACAAAATAGCTTGCCACTACACTAGGTCACTTTTACCATGTATATTCCAGTTTTTGTAGGAATAAATATCAAAATAATAATGTGACTAAATGCTTTATATATTAAAAGGCATTTCACATAAATTACCTAAATTAATCAAAGGAAAAGTTTAACCAGATCAGTTAAAGAGTACCAATCAACTATTTTTTCATTGCTTCTTTCTGTAAATATTTAACGAGCTCCTATGTATTAGGCACTGTATACTTACTAAGCCTTTTAAAAAAAATCTCCTGAAACTACCTCCCCTGCCACTGTCCCATTTGGAGTTCCCTATCTAGTTTTCCCTGCCAGCAGTCTCACCCAACTCTTCGTCCATAGCTCCTCTTTAGCCTGGTATACAAAGCCCTTCACAGAAGACAGTAACTTATGCTTCCTGTGTCTCTCCTTACCGTGTTCCTCATCCTCTCACTCCCTGCTGCAGTTCTTTAGCCATGCTGAAGTGGGCCCTTACATATAACTATCCCCTGTTTCTGCCTGACAAATTCATTCCTCACTTCCCAGCTCTCATGCGACAGCTTCCTTTCTAAGACCTTCCTGATTCCTTTAGACACTGAAGTTTCGAGTATTTCAGCCAGATTTCATTCCTACTTCAACCGCAGTGATTATAACACAGCAAGACATTTACAGTTTCCTCCATTAGCTACTAGGCTCCTTGCAGTCAGAAAATGTTTTATTCACCACTGAATCTCCAAGTCCTAGCTTAGTACCAGGCACATAGTAGATGCTCAGAAAATACCATATTTTTCCATATATAAGACTCCCCCTAGGTTTTCCAACCCAAAATTAAGAAATCTGTATTTTAAGCATTTTGCTGATTTTCCTCTTAGGGCCTTCTTTTTTGGCTTCCTAAGGAGTTGTTCTTCCTGTTTTCTCTACTGTCTGATCCTACACTCAGTGGTAGGCAGTCCAAATTGTCTCTCTGCAGCTCTATTGCCATGCTCTTTTGCACAGCTGATTACATTTAGTTTGAATTTTTCAGAGCAAGACAACTGCTTATAGGTATTTATCTTTTTATTTTTTGACATCTTTATGGGCTCAGAACTCGGTCCCTGTTGCATCTGTCTTCACCTCCAACTCCAATTACGGCATCAGGTGATGTCGGTAACAATAAGGCTCATGATTGGAGGAAGCCTGTTTGACAAGGTATGGGCAGCTACATACCCCTCCTCGGCTGACTTCCATGTATGACGCCCCTTGATTTTCAGTCTAACGATTTTAGAAAAAAATAGCATCTTATACACGGAAAAATACAGTATTTAACAAGTGAATGAAACAACTGGAAAACAAAGAAAGTAATAAAATGTGTGCTACATACTGAAAAATAAAGGTGAGCTACTTTCATTGGTCTAACTTCTTGGTAAAGGTGTTAAGAACTTGAAAAATGAACAGTATCAGATAGATGGAGAGGTATGGGATGAATATGTTTGTTTCTAACCCTCACTAGAGGATATGTTTACTGATTTTAGAGAGAGAGGAAGAAAGGAAGGGAGAGAGGGAAGGAGGGAGAAACAGACAGAGACAGACATCAATGTGAGAGAAACATGGATCGGTTGCCTTCCATATGCCCCTGACCTACTGGGGATCAAACCTGCAACCTAGGTATGTGCTCTGACCGGGATCAAACCTGAAACCTTTTGGCATATGGGATGATGCTCCAAACAACTGAACAACCTGGCCAGGGCTGAGAATAAGTTTTAAATAAAGCTTATCGTGTCCGGGATTACTTAAAAAATAAAACACATACTTACCTTCAGTTACTCCCCCAATAGCAAGAGAAATAATAGCTAAAACATTTTCACACGATGAGTGATTTATCTACCAACAGAGGAGAAAACAATTTAATTTAGGAGCCAGAGTTCAGACTAATTTGCTAAAAATAAAAACATACCCTGTCATTAAACTGATTATCACAAATATGGGATAAAGCTATTTCTCATAGAAGATAAAATTATTTTTAAGATGAAAATACAAAAAAATGGGTTGTAATAGAATTACTAATCTAGAAGTATATTAAGTAAATAATAAACAGGCAATTCACTTAAAATCCAATGGTCTTACAAAAATGGTTTCATTAGCATGATTAAGCCTGTAAGCTAATCAAGCACAGAAGTGCTGATGCCATAACTCAATCAAAGGCAAAGGCAGAGCCAGAGGAATGAATTGTGTTGGTACATCAATATGTCTGAGGGAAGGTTTTAATAGAAGGGAAGTAGTACCTAGGTTTGATAACACCATAAAATCCAGCATTTATTGTGTGTTCATTAACTGTCATTTTACACAACTTTGTTGAAAGAATGTCATTTGCCTTCATACAAAGAAACTGAGGCCCAGAAAAGCAAAGTAAGGTGCCTGGTGCCTCACAAAAGGTAAATGAGTAGCTCTGAAGAAGAGGACAGAGTGAATTTTGATGCAGAAAGGGACACTATTATTGCCACAAGAAAAAGATCTAACCTTCACTTAACCAAGAATAAACTTTTGAAACTTTTTCTTTTATTGTTCACTAATGTTAAATAAATTCAGATTTTCCATATTTAGAGTAAATTTATCAACTGAAGTTAGACAAGCACTAGTTATTCTTTTATGTTGATGAGAAGGATGACATAAGAAAATGAGAGCATGGAACCCCAGTTCCCATGCTGAACATCCTTGGACTGGACTTCTTGTGCAACTACAAAATGTGTCACACTGTCCTTACAGCAAAATGAGAGACCTAACTTCAAATCCCAGTTCTTGCTCAGGAAGACCTAGTATCAACTTCTCCCATACTATTCACCTGGAGAAGGCTCTGCTCTCTTCATCTATTAAGCAAAACCCTTATACTGCACCTGTGCTGCCAAAAGCCTTATTACATTACTCCTGTACTATTATCAAGGCAGCTTTCACAAAGTAGCAAGCTCACTCTAGAAAAAGCAATCATATTTAAATATGATTCTAAGAATAAAAGCAAATTTTAAATGACCTAATTAATTAATTTGCCAAGCAAAATCTTAATAAAATTATACTTACAATTTCTTCTTCTAGAACACCTCTGAAAGCTTGGTCAAGGGTACATTTTTTTTCATTTTCACTATTAAAAACAAAAGATACCTGCATTTTTAAAACAGCTCAGGGTAAGTACAAAGATTTAGGCAATGTATTTTAGGGATATCAATGCCTTACCTTCCAGGTAACTGGCTGAAGGTATTCAACAATGGCTTGATATTTTTGTTGTTCAGAGCTTCTCTGGTAGACTTCTAGGAAAATAAAAATAGCAAATAATTGAAAAGACTTTTGCTTATGATTTACTGAAAAACATGTCATTCATTAGTAATATGTCTAACTAAAAAATGTTTGTAACTGGGAAAAATACCTATCAGTCATTCTATTAGTAATTCTTATTCAAATGCCACTTCTGATAGACTCTCATTACTTTAAACCTGGCAAGATCTTTCTAGATTGATTTTCTCATTCCAGTTTTTCCTTCCTATCATCTCTTTAAATACTACATTCATGAGAATATTCTATTTATTTTAAAATATGTTCTATAGATTTTTTACAGGGAGGGAGAGGGATAGAGAGTCAGAAACATCCATTAGCTGCCTCCTGCACACCCCCTACTGGGGATGTGCCCCAACAAAGGTACATGCCCTTGGCCGGAATCGAACCTGGGACGCTTCAGTCCGCAGGCTCTATCCACTGAGCCAAACCTGTTAGGGCTATTCTGTTTATTTTTGAAGTTTCCAATGACTCCTTATTTACAGATTTTGGTTTTGAAGTTTTATATCTCCTCTCAAGGTCCTATATCCCATTTAACCTATCCAGTCTTACTTCCTACTCCCAACACAGTCTCCACTAAGGTCTCTAGCCATTTCCCCCCTTAATTTTCTATCAAGTGCACTCTAGTGTCTTCATTCATTCATGTTGTTTTTCCCAACTGTCCAAGCAAATTCTATCCATTCTTCAGGACCCATCTCAAGTCCTGTCATCTCTAGGTAGCTTACTCAGCAGTCCCTCACTACAGTAAACACTGAATACATACCTGCTGATTGTCTTAGAGTAGTCATAATTTAAAGACAATAATATTGCTGTCATTCCTTCTGTGAAAATTCTCATACACTTAAAAAGTCATCGTATTAACCTCACAGGAATTAGATTTATACTGGAAATGTCCATTCCTGACTCTGCTATGATCAGGCTGTCATCTTGGTCAAATCCCTTAATGCTTCATTTTCCTCACCAGTTAAATACGAGGGCTGTTCTATCAGTGGTTCTCAACCTTGGCTGCACATTAGAATCACCTGGGAATCTTTTTAAAATCCTGAATTCTGGGCCTCATCCTCCGGAAATTCTATTTCTTTGTTATGGGGTGGGGCCACAACATTAGTAACAAGGAAACAGAATTTCCGGAGGATGAGGCCCACAAATCAGGATTTTCAAAAGATCCCCTGGTGATTCTAATGTGCAGGCAAGGGTGAGAACCACTGGGGTAGGTGATCCCACCGCACACCCAGGCTGAAGCAGCACTATCCTAGAGACGATCTCCAATTAAGTGGTCCTTTCCAGGGCTACTGTGATGATTTTGGATATTCCTAGCAATTACTCTTAGCAGAATTTCAAAGCACCAGAGATTAGAGCAAAATGCACAGAAAGAAAATATTCCTATGACATAAACAAGATCTACTCTGGCAAAAAGAAACAAACCCCATACCGTATGGTAAAGAAGTAATAATAACCTGCACACAAGAAAAATTCGTACTACAAAAAAAAAAATTTCCTTTCATAGACTGTTCATTCTGGCATCGCTGTAAGTACACAGGCACTGTTAAATACCTACGTCGTTAAATCATGCCTTGGAACACTGGCGCAAACGCTAAAGACAAATTCAGTCAAACAGGATTTTTCACGCTGGGGATGTATGCACAACATAAAAAGAGCAGCACTGGGTTTGAAGCCGGGAAAAAACCCACCACTTTAGTAAATCACTTCACTTTTGCGGGGGGAGGTGGGAGGGATGAGGGAGGGTTGTCTCAGTTTCTACCTCATCTACGAGGGATCGTAAAAGTTAGCCTAATTAACAGTGTTAAGAGGTACATAAGCTCACGTAAGCTGTTTCTCAAATGCGAAAATTACTCTTCCCCAACGTGAGAATAAGATGACCTCTGGCCACGCTTCCTTTCCCCCTGAGACTCTCTCCGTCCCTCTCCGAGGAGGGAGATGCGGAGGGTTCAAGGTGCGCTGAGTTCGCGGCCCGGACCACCTGGCAGCGCGGGGGCGGGGCGGGAGCCAGCCTTGGGGTTAAAGCCGCGGCGGCCCTCCCCTCCCAGCAGCATCCCTCCCAGTTCCGGAGACACAGGTCCGGCTGAGCGTGCGCCGCGGAGCAGCTGGACCGTGCGGGGCTCCGTCCGCAGAGGAGCCCTTCCCGCTGGGCGCCCGGAACGCGGGGTCCTGGGTCCGGCCGGCGGGGTGGCCAAAGCGGGCAGCAAAGGTGCGGAAGAGGCAGGTAAGGTGCGTTCCCCCCTCCCAGCCCCCGACGGAGTCGAAAGCCTACGCTGCGGCGTACCCCCCTGCACTCCAGGGCAAAATCCCAATAATCGCAGGGAGAGGAGGGCAAAGAGTAGCGCCGGGCCCCGCTCCCACCCTCCTGCCGCCCGCTCACCGTAAACCGCGTCCGCGCTTCGGGTAAACTGAAGAGTGGCGGCGTCGGAGACATCTTCTCGGCTGCGCGTGCCCGCCACCGCGCTGCGGCGCAG